CTATCTCCACCGTCGAATAATGTTATAAAATAATTGCATGGCTCTTTTATAAAAATTTCAGTCCTCTCCGGAACGTTTTAATTATATATGTGATTCTGATAAATATTAATTATGACGCGAGAGAAATCGGAAATAATTAAATATATCATTTCCCAGATGCAAAAATCTCAAATTTGTTTCCAGAGCTATTAGAATAGCATATACTACAAAATAATGAGCGAAAATTATAGAATATCAAGGTAGTGCTACAGAATAGCATTTCGCTATTTCGTCTTAATCTTTAACAAGTGATGCATTCAACACATTCGCATTTTCCACGTGTTTCAGCAAAATACACTTTTTCTTTTTCGTTATTAACTAAAATTATAATCTTAGCATGTAATCTATTATGATTTTCCGCTTCGCAAATCGTGCAGTTGCATTCAGTATTGCGTGCGTGAACAATGTTCATCGCGATTAACCGTCTCGTTTCCATTTACACCTGCAGTCGCGATTGCCGGAGACCTTTAACAATAGCGGCACGAGTATACGAGTGAGCGAAGTCGCCGGCGTATTTGTAGTGGAAGAGAATAGTAACGGGCTGCGTCTGTAACTGTGAATGTTGGGTTCACAACTCCCCCCCCCCCCCCCCCGTGAATGATATTCAACAGGTTTCCCGTAGTAATCTCCAACGATAGAGCGGGAGTTCGGGATACAATGGGATACCGACCAAAGTCGTGTTTCATTATCGGCGCGCGAGCACATCCCCGATAACGGCAAAGATATTATGCGTGCATCCCCGCTCTCCCATAAATCGTATTAAATGTCAACGTTGGTCGTTGCTAATCCAAAAACTTATTTCTTGGTGTTCTTGAATTTTTCTCGACGTTTCGCACGCGATGAATCCTCTCCGGCCTAGCGATTTTAAACGCAGGTATAATAACGAGACTTATGTAATTAAACGCATAAAATATAATGTATTCTATAGTTAATGTACGGCGATAAAAAAATTATTTCTTTTATTTTAGCTTCTAATTGTTATTTATCGCACTATATCTCCGACATAGAAAAAAGGAATTATATTTTTTTCAAGTTACAAACTCCTATTGGTTTCGCGTCAAATGCGTTTTTACTGAAAGAATGACGACGTGTCAAAGTCTAGCCGAGATATTCTTGGAAACGCGGCGGATATTCTTATTCTTTTCTGCAATTTCCCTATGAAATATGGCAGACAGAAAGCTCATTCAGATCGGGTGGAGCTGCAACTCGAAAATAATTCAACAGCTGCCAGTACTGGTATCGTCGGTCGGGTGGGTAACTTAGAATTACGATGATTAATTGGACGTCAGGAACAGGGTGAGTAATTTGCGGGACAAATTCGCGGACGAAAACAGGTCGTCGAGTTTATAGGCGACTCGTATTTTCTCCTTCTCGCCGTACGACTTTTCTTCCTTCCATTTCTCTCACAATTCTATATCCGACTGTCAAACTGTTTCCTTTCATTGGCCGTTTGTGAATAAAATATAAATTTCGCGTTTGACGAGAGTTTGAAAATACCTGTCATTTTGATTAGAATCTCTCTCTATGCTTCTCGTCCTGAATTTTAATGACGGATTCTTTAGCGCTATTTGAAGCCAATTGTTCTTTAAATCGGCTAATCAAAAAGACTCGATCATGATTCCGAAATCTAGAAGATTAATGATTTAAAGAAACCATTCGTACAAAGTTCGTTAATAATTTTAGATATATTACGATATAAATACCAAACAAATATTTCTGTCTCTAAAGAAATTATCGTTCGGATAGACTTCGGTTCTCCGAATGTTAATTGCAGTGACAAACGTTTCCAAACTTCGACGCCGTGCTTGCGGCACTTAACTGATTTCCATTCCGTTTACGGCCCCCTCCCGAATGATTCGCCGACGTTTCTCTACGTTATGCACAACAGCTGTCCCGGAGAAACTCGTCTAACTCGTCTTATTGGTTCACTTTTCGTTTGCTTTCAGCCAACCGGTTAAAATGTCTCTAATTTCTACATATAATATCGTCGTTGAGACGATTCACGACGAGAGGAACGCCGCTGCCAGTCTTTTACCCCGTTAAACGTTAGCGTCAAGTAATCATGCCTCGAACGCGCATACGTTCGCTAAGTTTGTTTGCTGCGGAGTTTGACATCTTGTCCAGTTAGTTTCGCGAACGTCCATTCGCGTTTCCGCGCATTTCGTCCACGGCGAGCTGAATTTACCTGACCGTTACTTTATATCATACGCGCTTGTCCAGCTAACAATAAGTATTCCGGCAATTACTTTCAACAGATGTCGGCCCGGAAACCGATAGTGTTTTCATAACATGAACTGATTTTTCATGTATTTATAAAGTCACACGTCAAAGAAACACAGAGACTCGGCGCATCATCATCCATGACTTAAAAAGTAGCGGCATCGATATTCAAATCCGGTCATTTGTTCGATAAATCGTTGCTCTCGCCGTTTCCGCAGACTTTGCAGAATAGAACGATCGAGCAGTTGCGTTGACGTACTTTTAAAATAGCATCAAGGTCGAGACGAGACTTCGGCGATCGTCCGTTCCGCGAACGATCATCGAAGAATCGTACATCATTCGCGGGAAATTATTGCTAGATCGCCTTGGCCGCGTAACTGAGTCTGGAAATATGCACGGAATTCAAGGTTTTTCAAAAATGTCGCATAAACTAAGCATTTAATATCGAGATAACATTATCCGCGTTGAAAAATATATAACTCCAATATTTTATGCGTGCGAAGTATCATTCTACGAATAATGTATCGTCTATGCAACTCTGTGCACGCGCGATATATATGTTTTATATTGTTTACGAATATTAATTATTTCTACAAATTTTTGATATGGCGAATCGCGTAGACGAAATGCACAGTTGGCAGGATTCGCACAGACACGCACTAATTCAAAATTAGCTACGCGGATTAAATTTCTATGCTCGTGTTGCAACAGGGTGTTCGGAAAGCGAGCATCTTCATCAAGCACTGGAGGAAACAGATCGTCGCTTTCACGAAAGCAGATCGCCGGTGAAATTTATGCTGTCACGTGCCATCCACGACAAAGTGGACTGCAATTTAGACGCTCCGCTTTAACGAAGCGCCGTTTCTCGTTTAAATGTAGTATCGTGGTAGCAGCTTTGTGACTGCTAATTGTATTACAAGCGGAAAACGAGACCAAGTTTACGACGCGATCATGTTCGTTCGATGACTCTACGGAATCTCTCTTTCATCGCGCTCTCTTCTCGCGATTTCTTTCAGTTAAAACCCTCTTTGCGGCTAATTTCTTCGCGATTATTGTTCGCACAGATGCTTTCTCTCTTTATTTTTATTGAGAAAATCTCGGTCTGTTCAATACCAACGCGCTCATAATTTATATTTAACGAGCCTTTTAGTTAATTCGGCGTAACAGCGTTCAAGTGACATTCGAGCTTAAGCCAAGAATTTTGCAATTTTCATTGGTATGTAAACAGTTTGCGGCTGCATTTGTATTTTGATGCTTTAAATCTATTTTTCAACAATTATCTCGATATTATTTTTACCAATATTACAAAATTATTCTTTCTATATACATGAAGCCTTTCTTCGAAAATAATATGGCATTGATTTTCTGAGATCTCTTAATATTGATATAAATAATTTCAATCTATTAATATTTATTTTTGTCAGCTTAAATAAAAGCTTTAAGACAAGCTGACAAAATTGACACTCTAGTAGACTAAAATTATTTATAGTACACTAAAAGTCTCAATGAATATTAATGTATCATATTATTTATGGAGAAAAGCTACGTTATATCAATCTTTAATTTTTTATACAGAATGTTCGTAATATTAATTTTGAGATTCTTGTTTTTTTTCTGATTGAAATAACAATTTTTCAGGGTTGATTTACGAAATCGCGTGACACGCGTAAAACAGGAAGACGTGAACGCGAATGTATTGTTCATCGGAAGACCCGATCGCAAACGGCAGTCGTCAGCCGCTCGTTTATGTGTCGCTCGTTGTTTCTGCGTTCGAAGAGAGTTCGTTGCCAGTTCTAAAATCGTCATCCTGACAATGACGTAGGATCGCGACCGTTTGTTGTTCGAGGGATCAGCGGATCCTCTCTTTCAACGAACGAAAAATACAAGTTCGTCCGCAATGCAAGATCGTGGAAAAAACTTTGCGACTTTCAAGCTTCGCGTTAAAATTGAAATAATTCAGTATATCAATGAATCACACCACGGTGGGCGTGGAATGATAAATAAACGATAGTTGATCGTTGAATGATAGTTAATCAAATATTTGGCAAATTATATATGCAGCAACTTTCACGCTTTTGCTCGACGAATTTTGCTACAACTGCATCGTATACTTGCGTTGGATATACGTAATAATAAACACATACGAAACAATTTATTAGTGTGCGCGATCTTGTGGACAATCTATTGTCTGCAGTATAATCGAATGATACCAATAATATCCAGAGCGTACAGAGCTCCAAAATAAATTACAATCAATATCGCGGAGAGAGATAATATATGTATATATACATTAGCGCGCTCTTCCCTCATTTTCTCTCGTGTCTATTTATAAAAATCACATTTTTCCGAACTCATCGATATATGAAATATATTTTAATTTCATTGAGATTCTCGCGTTTGAATCTCAGCTATCAGATTCGGAGATTCTTCGCTAAAATTTTTCGGGCTTAAATATCAGTCTTAAGATAAAAATATGTATTTCACTGAATCTTAGAGCTCGGAGAGATCTTTGTTATATAAAATCTTAACTAATTTTTATTTGATTGCAAGAAATAAAACAATTTGCGTTTTCGCTTGCTGAAATCATCGCTCTTACACATATTATCTCCCTAAAATCTCCCCGCTATACAATCATCCGACGCGTAGCAGCGACATAAACGCCCACACTACGGCGCCGGCAGTTACCTCGACAGTTACGGTGATCGCGAACATCATATATGTAATTGTCGTTGACAACTTACCTCCTGGATCTTATAGCTGGTGCGGATAGTTTTGCGTCTGGTAGTGGTCATTTCGTACGTCTCCTCGACGGTGGGCGCCTCAGCATCGTTGCTGTTGATGATGCCGTCATCAGTCCTCATCAGCGCGTCCGTCTCGTCCATCCTGACGTTTTCCGTATCCACTTCCAACAAAAATTGAGAAACGTGCTTCCAATCTCGAAGAGGTCTCGCTGCGAACGGCTATGGGAGGCAGCGACAAACACCACGGTTTGTCTACTATGCGGCCACCAGCCGCGTTCCGATTTCGGCGTGCGGCGAAAAACTTTTACAGCGCGACGGAACTATTCCGGGCGTCCAAGTTCCGCGCGAAACGACGAGGCTGATGGTACTAAAGCACCGCGCCGCGGAAACCCCGCGATGCGAACAGTATCCCACGCTGCACCTCTTTTGATGGCGAAAATAGAACCTCGTGTTCTCCCGCAGGAACACGAATCGACGATGCTTGTTGGTATCATAGATTACGGATAGTTTCGGACAGGCTAGAGCGTATATCATGCGTTAGTGCGCAAACTGCAAATCAAATATAAACATAATTATATATATGATAAAAAGCAGACACTTTTTCGTATTTAAGGAATATTGCAAAGTAAATTGATTTGTGTTACTTCGAGAATCATGATCGAATTTCTAAGGATTAAATTGGAAAGGATTCAAATATTTCCAAGGATGTAAAGAGATTGTGATAATACAAGTATATAATAATTCACAGATTAAGGAATTTAGGACCGAGGAGTTTATAATCGCATAATTTTGAATGTTACGATATTTTATAGCAATCGTAATCCACAATGATAAGCTATACGCATTTCGAATATTATACAAAAATACGTAATCAAATGTTTTTTGTTTTTTTTATTATTCAATATAAATCTCTTAGCGCACATGGCATAACAATATATCATATAGTATTACAATAATATAATAATTATCCTTAGAAATTCAACCAAAGCATTGTATAAAATTATGCAATTTCAGTAAATACTGAAATCGCGTCTATAAAATATTACAACAGCTTTTCAATTTTATAACCACCCTCGAATTATGGTTTTAATCTAACCATTTAAATACAATCAATAATTAATCTCCCTGAGTTCTTATATCATACATCTTTTTTTCTACGATGGCACAGTACTTACGGAATTAAATTAAACAGTCTTGCATCTTGATATTTATAATTGGTATATACGCATGAATGCATCCGTAACTGCATATATTTTCTATTAAATAATAAATTTTTTATTTGTGCATCCACTCGTATCCTTTTTCACTATTTAGGTAGCTCATGTGGCTTAAAAACACCAATTTCCGTAATTATCGCGGTAATTAAACTCGCTGGTGTCACATCAAACGCTGGATTCCAACATTTTATTCCTTCTGCTGCGATTCTCTTCTCGTTCATGTGAGTTATTTCTTTTTCGGGTCGCTCCTCGATGATTATGCCATGACCGTTAGGAATATCCATGTCTATGGATGTCCTTGGTGCAGCCACATAGAAAGGAACATTGTGATATTTGGCGAGTATCGCAATCTGTAATCAGAACAAATAAGCTATGTAAGTGTTTATTATTATATTATTCACACAAGATGAATGGATTATTTTAAAATCAATATCTATAAATAATTTATATTTATATCATTATCTCTATCTATAACGTTTAAAGATTCAGACATTTACCTGATAAGTTCCAATTTTGTTGCCGGTGTCGCCGTTGGCGGCGATCCTATCTGCACCCACGACAACCGCTGTGATCTGTTTCGTTTTCAATACCGCGGCGACCATGTCGTCGCAAATCAAAGTCGCCGGTATCTTCTCATGCACTAATTCATAAGCAGTCAAACGAGCACCTTGGTTGTACGGTCTAGTCTCGGTGCAATAAACGTGCTCTGAAAAAATAGATAACAGTTGAGAATTATAACTTAATTATCCGACCAAGATAATATTTTCGAGAAAACAAGCTATATTTACCGAGCTGTCCCGATGCGTGAAGAGATCTGATAACGCCTAAAGCTGTGCCGTATCCCGCGGTAGCGAGACTTCCGGTATTACAGTGTGTGAGGATCCTGACAGAACCATCTTCAGGTATACCAGTAAAATGTATAATCTCCGTCGCACCAAAATCTCCAATTGCTTTATTGGCTTCCACATCGTTGTTCAACATCTCCTCTATATCATTTATCATTCTACAATACAATTTAAAGATTGAATATAAATCATACTGTTTAGATGTTTCTCCAAGAATATAAAGCTATGAAAATATACCTGTGTTTCATATAAGATAGGTCATATATATTGTAATCGCGAACATATTTTGCTAACTTTATAAACTTCTCAGCTGCTATTTGCATATTGACAGCAGTGGGACGTGCTGTTACAAGATAATTCAATTTACTTTCAATATCCTGACAAAAAGTTTCCTTGTCTTTGTATCCCGGATGATGAAAAATCTCCGCTGCCAAACTGAGACAGCCTACAATAGCTATGGCTGGTGCACCTCGTACCTATGTACATTACGAGCATTAAAAGTACAATATAAATAATTATAATGACATATATATTTCTTATGTTAAAGATTTTAAATACACTATAATGTGATATGTACTCTCAATTATATTTATATAATTTATACAAATATGTGAGATATAATTTTTGTTCGTTATCAAGCTGACAAAGCACTCCAAAACAAAGTATAAGATTAAAATAAATTAAGAGAAAACACATTAATAAAAAAAGTATATATCGATTATAATCAATGAAATAAAAATATAGTAACATTATATTTTATTATATTTTATATCAATATTAGATGATTATTCTGACAAACATCACGAAACATCTTGAAAAACATTCTCAAACTCACCTGCATTTTGTTAATGACATTCCAACCATCCTCAACATTTTTTACTTGAATATAGTGAGTGGCCCATGGCAATTGCTTTTGATCCAGAATTTCCAACTTGCCCTCCTTGCCGTCCCATTTTATCGCCTCCAGTGACATCGCAACCCAATGATTGTAAGTCTTTCTTGTCCCGTGACACGTTACGGTACAACTAAATAGCAATCTTGGATTTATTATATGAAGGAGCCACAAGAAGAATCAGCTTTGATCGGAACGGAATAAAACAGAGTGAAATTGTTGGAGTAACCGGATTCTGAAGGCGCGAAAAGCACGTATGTCAATGATGCGTCATCTGGCGAACGAGATCATAATTAAATCTTCCCTACCTTCTTACTTCATTTGGAGTTCGTTCGGAAATCCTACTCGTGAGGAGAGTAACATTTAATTGACCAATCAGGATAAGAAATCTTTGCTCCTGATTGGTCGATTAAATGGTACTTTATCTTACGGGTAGGATTTTCGAACGCATCCTTGTTCTCCTCACGAACTCCGAAAAGCATGTGACGTAACCTTCGAATGTGTTGTGTAATATTACTAATCAGCTGATAACAGCGAGAAGTGGTTCGTCCGCTCATCGCCTCATCTGTCTTAAAGCTATATGACAGTTCGAAATAGACGTAAAGTCTAATTGAACATGTTCTAGAATTAAAGTTATTTCAGGAAACATATAATTTAAGGAAAATATAAATAGATCTTTAAACGAAAATATTTAATGTTTGTCAAATAAATTTTTTTCTGACGAAAATGCAATAATTAATAGTTTATTGTTAACCATTCGCATTTATTTAAAAACTTGGTTCTCTTATAATGACAAAGTTATATACCTATATAGAATTCACATAATTTTTATTTCTTTAAATGTAAATGCATATATATACTCGAAATATTTAACAGAGAAAAATATATTTCAACAATACAATAATTTTAATATCTACATATATAGGATCTTGATATGTAGCTAATCAAAAATTGATTAGCCATACATCATGATCTTATATAGATATTAAAAATAATCTATAATTTTTCATTTAACTTTATTTAATATTATTCTTTTGGAGATTTCTTTCTCTTTAGAAATCAATCTACTATTTAAAGAGTGCATATTTACTTTAAAAATGTGCATAATTTTAAAGACCTCAATGAATTCATCTCTCACATAGATCGATAGATACAGTTTCAGAGATGAGAATAGTTTTTATATCACGTGTTATCGACTTTAGACTATTTACGATAATCCAGAACTGAACGGTCCTTAAATGCGTTTTGAAACTGGAATGATCGCGCGAAACGTTCGCCGACTAATTTTCGCTATTATTTTCTTGAAATTGCAAATTCGCGAGTAACGTACGTTATGTAACGCGCGGTATTTCCGCTTGGCTTCCGTCGATCGTTTCACTTCCGTGTCACGTGCGTCGTAAAGTCTGGCAAAAATACCGAGGAGGAGAAAGAAGATAAAGATAGAGAAGATAAAGAAGACGCAGCGAGCACGATGCGCGAAAATGCTACATGCTCTAGAAAAGGTGCACGTATTTCTCAACTAGACGAAACGAGATGCGTTTGTCCCCGCTCTTGAAATCGCCTCGACATAATTCCATTTACTGTCTCTCACAGCGGCTTTTTAAGTGCAAATGTCATGCTGCGTTGACACGTATGACGACGCGGTTTGGCATATTATGGACAAGGCGAATGTGGTCAGACTGCAACCACGCTTTGTAAAATTGTCCTATATATATACAAATTTTTATATACAAAGTGACGATTGAAAATTGCTGGAACTTTTCGGTTGTTATTTACGCGAACAAAAAAGTAGAATTAAAAAAATCAAACTCTTTCAAGTACAAAAGATCTATTAATTTTATTAGCATATAGTACAAAAATTATATAATATAAAGCGATTTGATAGTCGAGTTTTGTTTACCATTGTTTTGACATTCTATTTTTTAAATGTAGAATTTATTACACAAATTTCTTTATATACACATAATTTTTTATTATATGCTAATAAAATTGATAGGCTTCTTGTATTCATAACAATTTGATTTTTTTATTTTACCCAGATAACAGTCGAATAATTTCATCAATTTTCTTGTCACCCTGTATATATATAAATATATATATTTATTGACTCAGACTCCTTTGAACGATCGCACCGGCGAAACGTCAATCCTATCCATAATCAAACAATACCCGCGCTTTAAAGCGTCCCCGCCGTCATATCGAGACGGCGAAGTTCGATTCACGGTCTCTTTGTGCGGCTCTGCAAAAACGACCGGATTAACAGGAATTGACAGAAACGTATTCCGCGGTATTGATCTCATAATCTTTCGACTTTGGGATTAGTTCGAAAATGTTCAAATTTACCTTCCTGTTGCTTCCGTTGATCTTATATTATTTATTTTGCGAAGACCAAAGAGATTCTTTAATTAATTCATTTTTTATAGGATAGAAAAAATTGTTACGAGTAAGATCCTTCGATTTTTATTTTAAGAAAAATCTATTTCTCTTTCAATAGTCTTGCTATTTCAATTGCTCGTACGTCGACTATTCTGTGTTTGTATTTTCAGCGTTATCTGACTCGTTACGTCGGCAGATCTCTTTAAACAATTCGAACGAGAATATAAATATAACGATATATAGCTTGATGCGTCTGAAATATTATACGAGATAATTATGTCTCACGTCGGAGCGATAATGTTCTTGCACGAAATGTAGAAATACTATCGCTTATCTCGATTTGACCTTAGTGCCACAAACACACTGAAACGTATCGAGATAACATAACGAGACAAACTCATTAGTCGAATTTCTCCTTTAATTCGCATTTGCCTCGCGTATGAAACGGTTCTGAATTTTCGGCAAGTTGAATGTGACGAAATTTACCTTGGCGTCTCTTACCGGTAAGTTAACATGACGAAGATGAGACAGATGACATTAATCAGAGTAGGTCGCATTCGACGAGTATCTCTCGCAGAATCCAGGAATATTTGGATCTTCGGACTGGAAGCGGGAGTATGTAGAGAGAAATAGATGGATAATGAGCACCTGAGGATTACACAAATTCATATTCACTTTAATTAAATATATCTATGTACATTATAGGTACATCATATTATATATATAGTACATTTATACCATATGATAACTGTACAACGGTAGCACTTTCAATACTGTTCACAAAAATACATCGCATATAAACGAGCAAAGAGTTTATACGCAAGGTCGGCTCACAACTTGCGACAAGACAGAGCGTCAATTAATTAATTAATTAATTATTACCTCTCGCGCGCGTCGCCCCCGCGACTCCGCGCTCGCGGCGTTTTTATGTACAAAAGATCTGTGCTCGAGAGTCGCATGTCGGGCCAAAGGAGGAACGTGTGCTACGAGAGAAAAGATGTATTTATTCATTTACTCTTTCTTTTTTTATTATTATTAACTTATATATACTTCGCTTTTTTAAAGAACATTATCGACGCTGCGCCGCTGAATGCATTAGAGGCCCGAGGGGCCGTTTCATTTAAGTACCATCAAAGAGACACGAGACTGACAGATTGATATCAATATTTATATAGTTACATCGAGCGTGTGTATGTGTGTGTGTGTGTGTGTGTGTGTGCAATAACTGGCGTTCCATCTTAACCGTCGTGACGAGAATAAGCCGTTGGTCACCAGGTTCCAAAATTTACTAGTCGAATTACATTTTATTAATTTGTGCGCTGAATAAAAGAATACAATTAACATCTTTGGATTACCTTATAAACAAAAATATTAAAAGATTTTAAAATTTTCGGAATAGAGAAACTAAAAGGGCTCCAAAGAATCATTATATATACATTTCTAAAATAGCACATATTTTATAAACACATATTTGAAATATAAAATCTTATAAATATCTCTCTTTGAACTTAGTATACTTTGAAAACCGTCACCTCGGCGATCGGTGGAGCTCGCAGAGCGTTCTCCTCATTTCGAAGATATTTCTCTCTCTTTCTTATCACATTTTAATTCGACGTTTCTCGCATACAAATCGCACGCGTTTCGGTTATCGTAGACGTTGACTATTTACAGGAGTATTTCCGCAGAGAACAACTTAAGGAACATTTGGTATCAAGAGCGATAATTCGGTCGAATGTCGGTGGTCAAGTTGCGAGAGATCGCTGCTTCGGAGCGTCTAGGAACTGTATAGCGTTTATTATATAGTTTATTAAATAGTCGTTGAGAAAAACAGGAAGCATCCGCTACGATGGCTACTTTCGATCGTTATATCCTCGCAGAATCTCTTTGTGCAAAGCAAAGCTAGATAATTCGTCACGGCAATCGTCGCTTCATCGCAAAGATTGTACGATTCGAAGAATAAAAGCTGAGATATAAGTAGACACTAAGGCTAGGTTGAATCGACTGATTAATCCTAGTTTACCAATGATTAATTTTTTTTTTGGTCTATAATTGTGCCTATAACGTAGAAAGAGGAGAACGATTGAATTAATCAATAGTTAACGCTAGACATTGTTGATACACAACCGGACCGATCTTGTACATCGAAAGATTTAAGATCCTTAGGGATGATCGATCTTCAGATTGAAGAATTCCGCTTAGAATACTATTAAAAGTCGCAGAATCACAGAATCGAAAAATCAAAGATCTCTTTCTTTCTCTCGGATATTCGTATCTCGTAGATCTAATTAAAGGAATTGTAAGGAAAGTGCGCGGAAAGACAGACGGAAAGACAGACGGAAGACAGAAAGCAACTCGCCGTGTCGAGTCAATGTCGCGATCGACTTGATCTACTGCATCGGGGAAGAACGTAAAAAGGCATGTCGCATCCGGCTTCAACTATTGCCGTTCATTTAAGGAAGTCAATATTTGTCTCGCGCAGCGGATCGATCGATCGGAAAGTCACGGCAATCTGAGCAAAAATTAAACAGCCGTGCTCGAAGACCCGATTTACCCGACATACCGGACCACCAACACAGTGATAAGTATACGGGATGTTTCGCAAGAAGTGCATACCAGAAGTGCATGTATAATTCCTATCTTTAAAAAAAAAAGAAAGATTTCGAATAAAAACGATTCGAAATATAAAGCCGAAACAATCACAAATTCGATTAAAATATATTTAATATCAAAATATAAATATCAGTGTTTAAACGATTGAGCTTTCGTTAAGAAAACGGAAAACCGCGCTGAAAATCCTTGCCGGGGAAATGTTCGCGTGCCATCGGCACGTGCTTCTTGTGACATATATCCCGTATACACTCGTCTATCTAGCTATCTATGTATATGTATTATGTAATATATGTTATG